CTTTTGGGGCATCCTGGGGGCCTCTTGGGGTGGAAGGCTCGGATTTCCGGTTCGTGTCCCCTCTTTGGGGCTCCTTTTCGGGCCGTCTTGGGGCCCGTTTGGGCCGTCTTGGGCGCCTCTTGGACCGTCTTCGGGTGCCCTGAAGGCGTCTTGGTGACCTCTTGCTTCTTGGGCAGCTTTTGGGGTGGTCTTGGGGGCGTCTTGGGCGTCTTGAAGAGGCGTAAGCAGAAAGGGCAAGAACGCCCAAATCCGCCAAAAGACCTTAGGACATGTAATGATTGTTGCTTTTTGAGGCCCTCTTGGGAGGCCTCTTGGAGGCCTCTTGGGGCGTTTTGGAGGCCTCGTGGGCCATCTTGAGGTCATCGTGGGCGTTTGGGGCCGATCTTTGGGCGTCTCGGGGCCCTCTTGGGCCGTCTTAGAGGCCGAGGGATCCCTCGTGTTGGTTTGGCGGTGTTATCCGGGCGCGGTGAGCGTTGCCACGGTGGCATCCCGGATTCTTGGTTGCTTCGGGTCTCACAGGGACCTGGTGGGGGTTGTAGACATTGGCCTCGCCGTCCCATGCATGGCGTGCGCCCGCTACATTTGAGCGGAGGGGCGCTGCGCATTTATGTTCATTTCACTACGGCGGGGCAGCGGAGGCCGCAAGGGGCCTGCAATGACTTTTGAGCTAAACGTGCGCCGCGGTGGAGTTTCATTTCGTTCGCTGCTGCTCCGGACGCCTTCGTTGCTTCGTTCGCAGGGTGGGCGGGTGGCCGAAGAACGGAGCTCTCGTGGATTGGGGGTGCCGGGGCGTAGCGGGGGGCGAGGAGGGGGGAATCGGGGGTCCTGAACACCAGAGACGGAACGAGACAGATTCTGCGGGGTGGGTGGCCCCTGAAAACCAGTGCTCAGAGGCTCCAGGAGGCTGGTGGTGTTAGACGTGGTGGGGGGGTCCTGGGGCGGATTTTGCAGGTTGGGTGGCTCTTGAAAACCAGTGCTCAGAGGCTCCAGAAGGCTGGCAGTGTCAGACTTGGTAGGGGGGTCTCGGGACGGATTTTGCGGGCTGTGTGGCCCTTGAAAACCAATGCTCGGAGGCACCAGGAGGCTGGCGGTGTCAGACGTGGTGGGGGGCTCCGGGACGGATTCTGCGGGATGGGTGGTCCCTGAAAACCAGTGCTCAGAGCCTCCAGGAGGCTGGCGGTGTCAGACGCGTGGTAGGGGGGTCCCGGGACGAATTCTGCGGGATGGATGGCTCCTGAAAACCAGAGCTCAGAAGCTCCAGGAGGTTGGCGGTGTCAGATGTGGTGGAGAGGTCAGCTCCGGGACGGATTTTGCGGGGTGGGTGGCCCCTGATAGAGGGAGGAGGAGGAGGAGGAGGAGGAGGAGGAGGAGGAGGAAGAGGAGGAAGAGGAGGAGGAGGAGGAGGAGGAGGAGGAGGAGGAGGAGGAGGAGGAGGAGGGGGAGGGGGAGGACGAGGAGGAGGAGGAGGAGGAGGAGGAGGAGGCGGAGCAGGAGGAGGAGGAGGAGGAGGAGGAGGAGGAGGAGGAGGAGGGGGAGGGGGAGGGGATCCCCACTGGGCCGTGGTATTTCAGCACCCACCAGGCAATCTCTTCGGGTGGGCATAGGAGACAGCTTTCATGTCTTAGCGGGCGTGACAGGAGAGGAGGAGGCAGGGGGCCAGTCACGTCACGATTTGCGCTGGCGCCGTTTGGGAAGATCTATGAACCGCTAGTTCCTGGACGTTGGCGCGGACATTGGCCGTGACGTGGCGAGGGGGGCGCGGGGCCGAGAACGGGCGTCGATGCGAATGACAATTTTTGGAGCCCGCGAAACCCGAGTGGAACAGCGCAAATCCACATCTGTCGAGGAGCAGATCATGGCATAGACATCGGACTTTGGGAGCTCCGCGCGCGTCTCTTGGGTCGGCGCTAACCCGCCAGCGCCGGCGCGCGGAGCGCGCCAGGGGCGGCTCCGCAGGCGCTGCCCAGGGGGGCTCATCGCCGATCTAAGAAGGCCGCGCCGGGCTCCACACGTGCATGCTTCCCGGCGGAGCCGGGTGAGATTCCGTGCCCGCTGGTGTGACTGTTTGATTGAGTGCACGTCAGGAGAGCACTTCTGACAAATTTCAAACCGCCCAGAGGGAGTGCGCAAGCGCAAGCGGGCGGCACGTTTCAACCCGCCCGCGCAACCGAAACCGCAGCCGCGAGCGGGCGACACATTTCAACCTGCCCGCGCAACCGCAACCGCAACCGGGCGACACATTTCAACCCGCCCGCGCAACCACAACCGCAACCGCAACTGGGCGACACAATTCAACCCGCCCGCGCGCGCAACCGCAAGGAGGCGACACATTTCAACCCGCCCGCAGGAGGAGGAGGAGGAGGAGCAGGAGGAGGAGGAGGAGGAGGAGGAGGGTGAGGCGGAGGAGGACGAGGACGCGGCTTTCCGCCGGGACATTGCAGCGGGGAGTCCCCATTCCATGTTGTTGCCTCTGATTATGCCGTGCTTTGTTCCTCTTATCTAGAGGGATGAACCGATCAGTGGGACCAGGGTCATGCCATTGGGGATGGAGATAACCCTGGGAAGCAATCAGTAAACCCCCCTCCCCCCCCCCCCTCATCAGAGGAAATTATAACGCTTCCGGCACCGGGGCCGGGGCGGAAGCGATATCCCCCGCAGGTCACCAGAGGTCCGCGGAGGGGAGGTCCCCGGAGGTTCCCAGGAGGCATCCAGAAAGGCCTCCACAAGCCTCTGAATGCCCGGTCCCCTTGTTCCCCAGAGCCCAGCCACAAGGCACACCTGCCCAGAGTCGCTTCCTGTGATTATGTGCGTTTCTGTGAGATTCCCCAGAGATTCCTTTGATACTCCGATTGGTTTCTTTTGAGATTCCTTGCCGTTTCCATTGTGATTCTTTTGGGACTCCTTTGAGACTCCTCTGGTGTTCCTTTGATGTTATTCTGGGGGTCCCTTGAGGTTCCGGTCGTATCCCTTTGATGCCCCATTGCTTAAGGGAGCATCACATCGACATCCGGGGCCGGTGGATTATTTCATTTTCAATAAATGTGCTAACATATCGCGGGGGGGTTCGCGGAATCCGTCTGCGATATCTCTCCGTGGACTCTCCCATAGGATCCCCTGAAATAATCCATTTCCCTAGTGCGGTCGCCATAGGGATTGCTTATGTCCACGCGAGCCCGCGTTTTCCAAATTCCTTAGATTCCTTCGTGGTTCGTTTGAGCTGCCGCTGAGATGCCTTTGCGATTTCTGTTGGGCTCCTTTGAGATTGCTTTGAACTTCCATTGGTTCCTTTGATATCATGCGTGGGATTCTTTGTGATATTCTTCTGGGATTCCTTTGGGGGTCCTTTCAGGTTCCTCTGACATTCCTTCGACATTCCCTGAAGGGAGCATCACATCGACCTCCGGCGCTTGTGGATTATTTTATTTGCAATAAATGTGCTAACATATCGCGGGGGGGTCGCGGAATCCGTCTGCGATATCTCTCCGTGGACTCTCCCATAGGATCCCCTGGTATAATCAATTTCCCTAGTGCGGTCGCCATAGGGATTGCTTATGTCCACGCGAGCCCGCGTTTTCCAGATTCCTTAGATTCCTTCGTGGTTCGTTTGAGCTGCCGCTGAGATCCCTTTGCAATTTCTGTTGGGTTCCATTGAGATTACTTTGAATTTCCAATCGGGTTCGTTTTAGATTCTGCGTGGGCTTCCTTCTGAGATTCCTCTGGGATTCCTTTGGGGGGTCCTTTCAAGTATAGCTGCTTGCGGTGATTTCATTGTTTGTCATTTTTGATTTACCTTTGATTTCCGATGCGCGTCAGTTTCCCAGTGTTCTAGCAAGGCGGGTACCCATTGGCAAGCGTTCGTGCGCATTGGTTCTTCAGGCTGTCGCCTCACGTTGCCGCCGGCCTCGGGCCGGGGGAGGGGGGCAAATTAATTATTTTTTTTTATTGTTTAACGTGCTAGCGATATCGCCGGAGGGCGCCGCCCAAAATAATTATTTATTTTATTTTCTCTGCTAGCGATATCGCCGGGGGGTTTACTGTTTGCTTCCCAGGATTAGGTCAAGCGATGCTCATGGCCTCCTGGCTCCCCTCGTCCTCGTCCTCGTCATCGCGGCTCCTCTCCGTCCTGCTGCTGGTGCCGTTTCCCCCCTCCTCGGTGGCGAGCGCGCGTGAACGGGTTGGGCATGGCGCCTGCGGTCGCATCACGCCGGCGATCGCGGTCACGGCGATGGCGATTTGCCCCCCCCGTCGTCGATGGCGATCGCGATCGCTTCACGACGTGCATGTCGACGTGGGATTGAGCGGCATCGACTGCGGCGGAAGGCGGTCCGTCTACCATCAGACATTTCTATCAGAAATCGCTCACTACTCCACCAGGGCTGCTATTGCATCCTTGTCAGCTCGGTTCTGTGCTTCGGCATCAGAAAGTGAGCACTCGAGCTGTGCATCGCGCAGTGCGGCAGCACACGATGTCGCCGTGCCCCTTGGGGGTCCCTTGGCTGTGCAGGCGCTTCCGCTCCCGCTGTGCTCTGCTCATCCGCCGATGCAAGGGTCTCGAGATGGACGTCAATGGGTCTTGCGTCCTTATCCTGCAGTCAACCCGCATGGTAAAGATGGGCAACCTCTCCAAGGGTGCCCTTGAGTCCTCGCCTCCTCGGTCCATCCTTGGCCACTTTCGTTGGCCGCGCCCCGTTCGAGAAACTCTAATAGGCTTCCAAGGCCCTTGCATCCTTATCGCGCATCCTTACTATAAAGCGGCGTGACAGCGAGGCACTAGTGACCTGTCAGCTCTCGAGTGTAGTATACGTACTTATCACGTGCAGGTGAATAGTTCACGAAGTGGTCCTGTATGCTGCCTAATTAAAACAATAACCGTACTATAAAGGTTTTACTGTATCCCAGGTCGCCTCCAGGGGCGCGAGGGTAAGCGCGCTCTTCGCGCCTCACGGCTCGTGTGTCGGAGAGGCGTCCTTCTCCAGGGCGCCCGGCGCGAGGGCCGAAGATAAACCGCGCGTCGCACGCCACGGGGCGCGACGCGCGAAGTTAGCTGTTTACCAGCCTCGAACTTATCCCTATCCCTAAGATTGACACGCCAAAAAGCGATGACAATCTTAGGGATCCGCCCTCAAAAAATAAGGGAATCCCTAAGATTGGCATCGTGATGAGGAGATGCCCAGGATAGGGATAGGGATATGTTCCAGGCCGGTAAGCTGTGAGCGGGTCGGGGACGGTCAGGGGGGGATGCTTCTGCTATGTCTGACGCTTCATGAGTATGTTTGAACCTTCTTTTGGGGGTCGTCCAGAGCCCGCCTGTAGGAGGGCATGCCCGACCCGAAGTTGGCTGACCTGGTCATCTTCGCAAGCATCCCGGTGCTTGACTGTACTCTGTCCCCCCTTCGACTCACCTTTGAGCGATGGCCTGGCAAGGGCGCGTCCCAGCGTCGTCGTACAGTCGGGGCCCTGAAGAAGGAACCCTTTTCGTTGGGGAGGGGCTTCGTGTTCCTTGATTGTTTCACAGTTTGCCTGGGGTTTTCCTTAGATTTTCGATGGGAAATCGAAGTTCAACTTCTGGAGAAAAGGGGCCTCGTTCCTTATTTGGGGTTTCTTAGGTCAACGCCCCGACTGTACCGCGACCGCTCGCCGGGGGGAGGCCTCACCACGGTCGACAGCGGCAGGGTGCTCCTGAGCGCCGATGCTGCAGGCTCCCGCGGCGCGCGCGCGCGGCGTGCGACGCGCGGCGGCGCTGTCGCGCGACGTGCGCGCGGCGCGTGGCGTGCGGGAAGCTGCAAGGATTGTGACGTACAGCCGGGGCCCTGAAGAAGGAACCCTTTTCGTTGGGGAGGGGCTCGGTGTTCCTTGATTGTTCTACAGTTTGCCTTCGGTTTTCCTGAGGGCTTCCACGGGAAATCGAAGTTCAATGTATGGAGAAAAGAGGGCCTCGTTCCTTATTTGGGGTTCCTTAGGTCAACGCCCCGACCGTAGGTCTGGCGTGCACCCCGCTGACTCCTCGTGCTCCCGGACGCGGCGAGCCCTCCGCGGGCGCGGGCGCGCGCGCGCATGGTCTGGACGTCGACAAGGGCATGCGTGCCTGCTGGCTGGCTGAGAGGTGCACCTTGGGGATCAGGTCGGCTGATGTGGGTAACGAGACGCATGGTGTGGTGCAGCTGTGAGCTCACTCGCCGCAGCGTCGGAGCGAAGCCACATGTGTGGAACGACTGTGTCGACTCGTCCTGACCTCCCACATTCGCCTTGCGGCATCGTGTGTCTGTAGGCGCGCTAACGGTGTGCTAGCTAACGGCGAAGTAGGACACCCAATTGAAGGAAGGCGTCGTTCGTGGCTGAACCAATTGTAGGAACGCGTGGTTCGCGTTTTCCGAAGATTCGCTGTGTCGTTTTCGCTCGATACACTCGCATATTTGAAATGTGGGAGAGTGTGGTTCGTGACTTTCTACAATTTGTTCTGCGCGAGCTCGGCGTCACACAAGTCAGATTCCGAACATCGCCGTCAACCAACACCGCCGTTGGCGCGGCTTTGGGACGGTTCGGCCTCGCCGAGTACAGGTGTCTCGGGACGCATAAGTTCGGGGCACTGGTTGGATGCCAGCCCGCGCGCAGCACTCGAGGATTGCATTCGCGCCGGGGGGGGGGGGGCTTGGGCGTCGCCCAGGCCCTCTGGGAGAGATCCGGGGAGGCGAGAGAGGCAGGGCAGCGTGGCTGGAGTCCGGGGGCGTCTCGGACGATTTAGGAGGCGGCGTGCATTTGCATTCTCGGCCGTCTGGGGCCCTTTTTGGCGTCGTCGGGGGGGGGCTCTTGGGCCGTCTGGGGGGTCTCCTGGGCGGGACAGGGGAGCGGTGGCCGAAACCACTCCCTCGTACCACTGGAAACCAGAGCAGACAACAACATGTTACGTGTTTTACGTAGTGGATTGTTGGTGCGCATTTGAGGCCCCAAAAATGAAAAAGGATGCAGGTTGTTGAACAACGGAAGATGATGCCGTTACACGATCTGTGTCAGAGTTTTTTTTGGGGGGGGGGGCGAAGATGGGACCGTCTCACCTCCTCCCTCCCTCTCCCTCCATCTCACTCCTCCTCCTTCTCTTCCGCCTAGAGTATTCACGATTTGGAAACCTCCCCCTGGGATTAGGCGCCCACTCGCCATTTGCGTGTTCCATAGCTCCTCCTTAGTCTACCCTCTCCCTCTTGGTTCCCCCTTTATCTCGTCCTCCGCCTCTACGTCCTCCCCAGGGATGGCAGAGAGAATGGAAAGGACGAGGAGGAGGACGGGAGGAGGAGGGATGAGAAGGAGGAGGCGAGGGGGAAGGAGGAGGAAGAGGAGGAAGAGGAGGAGGAGGAAGAGGAGGAAGAGGAGGAGGAGAAGGAGAAGGAAGATGAGGAGGAGAACCAGCAACATGTGCTGGAGGAGGACGAGGTGAAGCAGCAACGACTGCACCCCGTGAGCAAGAGGCCGGGCCGGACCCCCCCCCGCCCCCCGCGGAGGCACCGCGCACTTCTGGGGCCCGCTGGAGGAGCCTGGCGCCGAGCCGGTGCGTCCGAGCTACACCCTCCAGCTCCAGGCGAGTTCTCGGAGGGGGGCAGTGCGGGGAGGGGGAAGAGTCAAGCAGTGGCGAAGCGTCCTGGCGTGCCTATAGCCCCACCAAACAATGTTCTAAGAGCCTTTTGTGGTTTCCACGAGATGTTCTTAGAACCTTTCTGGCTGGGACTGTATTGTTTTAAACATCGGGCTTATGTTCTAAGAACATTGTTTTTGTTCTTAGAACAGTTTGGGGTTCTAAGAACATTTCGTGGTAGGACTATAGGAATGCCGGGACGGTCGGTCCCTGCTCAAGCAGGGCGGGGAGGGGGAAGACGGATGCAGGCGAGGTACAAAGGAGGAAAACAGTGGGGGCGCGCATCAAGAAACCGTATGCTTTTCGTCACAGGGCATCCTGGGCTTCTTCGCTCCTCGCGCTGCGCTGTGACTTCCCGCAGCCGTTGAAGGAGCTGCCTCGTTCAGGGTGCTCCGGGTTTTCCCTCAGGTGCAGCTCGCGCACGGGTTCTCAGGGTTGGGTTTCTTGCGAGGGTTTCTTGCGGCCGCGCCCGCACTTTAGGTAGCCATCTTGCTACCCTTCGCCCGTTCGCCCTTTTTTTCGGGCCTCCTGGGAGGCCCTCGTCGCCACCGCTGGATTCGCTTCGAAGTTCAGGTCAGGCCGCATCCCGGGTCCTGGAGCAGCGGTATCGGTGACTTTCTGGTTTCCCCAAGGAGGTTCCCAGATACAGATTTTAGCATTTGATTGGTTTTCGAGCCTGGGGCCATCAGAAATGAACCGGGACCGACAATAATCCCCAGCTGAGGGGGTGGGACTTCTGCGGATGTCAAGGTTCGATGTTCGAGAAACGGGGAGCGCGTGTCCGCCAGCCACGGGGAATGAAAGTTGTAGTCGGAGGAGACGATGAGGGTGGATAGCCCATTACAATTTTCCGGGCCCGGCGAAAGCAAGAGTATTTCGGGCGCCAGAGTGGAAGGACTGGGGATTTGAACAGGCGCGCGGCGCAAGTCTTGGATTGGCGCGGAGATGGCGCATCGAATGTAGCGGTAGCGACGGTGTTGACCAGATGCGGCGGCGCGCGGAGTGAACCCAACGTCATTCGTGACGCACGCTGTATTTGGTCGCGGTGTCCGTTGCCGCACGGAGTTTAAGGCATCCGTTGCAGAGAGCGCAGTGTCGGGCTTTGCGGGTAGCGCGGCGCCAAGAAATCGCGGCTGAGGGCGGCGGGGCAGCGCGGCCTCTTCCCAGTGATGCAATGTTGGAGGAAAGGCGATGCCCGACTGGCCGCGGGGGCATCTTGTCCAGGCGGGCCCCGCGCGAGGCGGGGCGCCGCGGTGGCAGGAACGCCGCGGGTGCAGCAGAAATGAATACGTGTATTCAGTCTCGCTTGCATGCATCGGCTTCCGTGACTTATATAATTAAGGTGTTCATTTTTTCCCCACATCCTGATTAAGTGGGTTTCTTGTTTTCCCTGGACACCCCGCGCAGAAACAAGAACCCACCACATCAGCATCACCCTTATCATCATCATCATCATCATCATCATCATCATCATCATCATCATCATCATCATCATCAGCATCATCGTCACCGTCACCGTCACCGTCATCAATAAATTATCACTCATCATAGTTCGTCTTCCCAACACGTGCCGTCAGTCCCCCATCATTGCCATCATATCCATCATCAACGTGGTCTTCCCATGTTACCATCACCGTCATCAATATCATCAACACCATCACACTATGCACCATCATCTTTATCATGCCCAGATAGGAAAAGCCGTGGTCTTCGCAATATGTTTCCCCACATCCTACATGGGGTCTTTGCTCCCCACATCCGAAGTGGGGGCTTTGTTTTCTCAGCACCCCCCCCCCACCGCGCACGAACCCCACCTCACCCGTCTTCTCCTCCTCATCACAATCACCATCACAATCATCGTCACAGCTACCACCAGCGTCATCATCACCGCTACCACCGTCCCATCATGATTATTAACCATCATCATCATGACTTAGCTCTTTCATCTGCCCACATGTACTCACCGTTCACCTATTGTTAAATCCTTTCCGCGCCAGTATGATCGGCCATGATTATATTCGTAATCGTTAGCACCGTCGCACACCACCATCGTCATCAGTATCACCATATCATCATGCGCATCGACCAAGCGGGGGCTTCGTCTGTGAGTGACGTGCGAGGAAGTCTCAGGCGGGAGCCCCGTGTTTATGGGACTCGCAGCTCGCATTATGAATCCGAGCGGGCCATCGGAATCTTGTAAGTGTCGTCACGTTTGGCCTCTTCAAGTTTGAATATGGAGGAGGTGTCAGGCGGGAGCCTCGCCTGTGAGTGGCTTGCGAGGAAGTCTCAGGCGGGATCCCCCTCCCTATGGAGCCCACAGCTCATGTTATGAATCCGAACGGGTCAGCGGAGTCGTGTAGTCGTCGTCATTTTGGGCGTCTTCAAGCTTAAATATGGAGGAAATCTCAGGCGGGAGCCTCGCCTGTGAGTGGCTTGCGAGAAAGTCTCAGGCGGGAGACCTCCCTGTGAAGCCCTCAGCTCATGTTATGAATCCGAACGGGTCGCCGGAATGGTGTAGCTATCGTCATGCTGGGCTTCTTCATGCTCGAGTATGGAGGAAGCCTCAGGCGATAGCCTCGTCTGTGAGTGAATTGCGAGGAAGTCTCAGGCGGGAGACCTCTCCCTAAGGGGCCCGCTGTTCATGATATTCACAGAGCGGGCCCTCGGATTCTTGTGAATGTGGTCACCTTTCGCCTCTTCAAGCTTGAGTGTGGATGAGGTTTCAGGCGGGAGCCCATCATGTGAGTGAATTGGGAGGAAGTCTCAGGCGGGAGCCCCCTCCATATGGGGCCCGCAGCTCATGTCATTAATCCGAGCGGATCATCGGAATCATCTACAAGATATACCGCTTGAGCACCCCAAAGAGGCAAATCGTGAGGATGCCCTCAGCGGGGGCTCGCTTGTGAGCGAATCCAGAGAAAGTCTGAGGCGGGAGCCCATTCCCTTATGGAACCCGCATCGTACATGTGAATCCGAGCGGGTCATTGGAATCATTTATAAAGCATGTGAATCCGAGCTCATTCCCTTATGGAGCCCAAATCGTGAGGATGTCTCGTGCGGGGGCCTCGTTTGCGAGTCAATTGCGAGGAAGTCTCAGGCGGGAGCCTTCCCCCTATGGGGCCTGCACTTCATGTTCGGATCCGAGCGGAACTATTCAGAATGCGTAGCACTTGAGCACCCCAAGGAGGCAAACCGTGAGGATGCCTCGAACGGGGGCCTCGTTTGTCAGTGAATTTCGAAGGAGTCTCAGGCGGGACCCCCCCCCCCCTATGGGGCCCGAATTTCACGTTGGCAATCCGAGCCGGTCATCGGCGAACGCGCTCCTTCTGGCCGTGGTGGCGATTGCGACGAGGACAATCGACGTGCGTGACCCAGGGGAACAGGCGGCATGGAGATGAGGAGAGGGAGAAAATGGACGAGGTGGAGGACGAGGAGGAGTAGGAGGAGGAGTAGGAGGAGGAGAAGGGTGAAGAGGAAGAGGAGGAGGAGGAGAAGAAGACATGGAACGAGGAGGAGGAGGAGGATGACGAAAAGGAGGCGACGGAGAAGAAGGAGGAGGAGGAGGCGCAACGTAGGGTGGGAGGAGGGCCTCCACCAGGGCGAAGAGAAAAAAGCGAGGGGCAAGCTAAGTCGATTCTCTTGTGGGGCCCTTCCGTCGGAGTAATTTGTCGATTGCACGTATTGCTGTTTGGTTTCATGTATTCAGTCGGGGTTACAAGTATTGAATGTTCGTTACATGTATCCATATTTGATTTCAGGGGGAAACAGGAGCGTCCTCGTGGCCCGCTGGCGACGTGCCCTGCGATTGCGATGTTCCCACGGTTGTTTTTCCATGGTATAAGAAGGAAGATGCCGCGAAGCTTTGCTGCCCCAAGCCAAAGTCTCCCGACGTCGCAATCTGCCGCACGACTCGGCACACTGCGCCGCACTGCGTGCTGATATCCCTTTCCCACCACTGGCATCGTGGCCAGGGGGTAGATGTCAGCCGTGCAATCGGGCTCGCGCCGCGCGCAGACGAATTTGGTTAGAACCGATACTGCCGCAACATTCGATGCGCCATCCCCACACGAACGGAAAATTGACGCCGCACGCTTGTTCAAGTCCTCACCCCTCACCACTCTGGCTCCCGAAGCAATGCTGCTGTTGCCGAGCCCAGAAAATTGTACAGCCTGCCCCTGGGCTATCCAACCTCATCTGTTGTTCTGATGTAGCAAGACGGGCAGCAAGTTTGCGACCTCAAGGGAGGAGAGCGAACATGATTGTCGTCATCGGAGGCAAGCTCTCGGGCATCACTGCGGGAATGAAAGTGTCACCGAGAACGGGAACGTGCATCAGACATGTCCAGGCAACCGGTAGCATCCTCTTGGGAGAGTTGTTCGGTGCATTCGAGGAGGTGCAATCTGCCTCAGCGACGCGCGAATGTCGCTCAGGCAAGTTTTGCACGATATCGGACAAGACGCTGCAACTGGATTGTGATAGCAAGGGAAGCCCGACGTGTGTGTACGGTACATTGATGCGGCGTTGGCACGCCGGCGACGGCGGCGAAGACACCCAAGTTTGAAATCTGCGACGCGGAAGCACCGAGGGACACATAACGCCTTTGCACCCGACTGACCTTAACCTTGAACGATTGGGGCCGCGACCGATTCAAGGTTGAACGGTCGACGCGGTGTCAAAAACCTCTGCGCGCGCCGACGCCGCACGAACGTACCGTGTCCTCTTTCTGCCCGACGCCTTTTATATTGCATCCTCGGGTCGGGGGGGCCTTGTCTGTCACGTCGCGCCCCTATCCGCGTCGAATCCGTGCTGAATCCATGTCGGTCTCGTCGACTCCGCTTCGAATCCGTGCCGAATCCGCGTCGAATCCACGCCATATCCGCGTCGAGTCCGCATCGAGCCCGCGTCGGGCGCAAGAAAGGACAATTTGGGGCACACGCGAGGTCCCCCGAGGATGCCACAAGAGTCTGTGCCTGTTTGGGCTCCGGCGCCCGGTCGTTTCCCAAGTGGGTGGGGCGCCTGCAGCTGGCGCTCGGGCTTGCGTCCTCGACGCCGAGCCGCAGCGGAGCGAGATAATCTGCCTCCCTGGCGCCTGCCGTGCCATCGCGCAGGAAAAATTCGGCAGCAAATCGTGGGAGCCTGGTGCACCCTTTCAATGAAGTCTTTAGCGTCGACTCGCGCCGATTGACGTCTTGGAGTCGATGAGATAGCGCCGATTTAGCGTCGGCCAGCGTCGACCAGCGTCGATCTAGCGTAGATGTAGCGTCGAATCAGCGTCGACCAGCGTCGATTCGCAAGAGCCAGCAAGATGGCATGGGAGGCTCCCAGGAGGTGCCGCTGAAGGAAAAAGGCGGCGGGAAGCGATCCGCCCAAGCCAGATGTAGGCTAGACCCAAAGATCCCAGGGCGGGCGAGGGTCCTAGTCGTGGGTCTGGTATAGTTACACAGTTGCCTCCCCGGGGGGTGGTTTTGTACACTAGCGTGGCCCCGTGGGGTACAATTTGATTGGGGTGGGGAATGTGGGGATTACAGCTGAAACCCATGCCAAGAAACACCCTGCTTGCCTCCAGGGTGCCCTGCGTTTCCTGGGTTTCGATGGCTTTGCGATGGAAAGCGTGGCGCTCCCACACCAGAAATCAGTGGACGCCTTGGGGTCTCAGGCTTGGGTTTCTTCTGGAAGGTTTTTTGTGGTCAGGCCCCGACTGTGCAAAAACAATTCGAGGAGAAAAAGGCGGAGGGAGCCGAGGCGGCGGACCGCGGAGAAGGACCGATAGTGCGGGCCAGCGATGCCGATTCGATTCGGCTTGGGATTCCGATCTGGGCTCCGATTTCTTAACGGAAGCCTACTAGCCTGCCGATTTCCTCAGGTTCGATTTTTCCTGGCTCGGCTGCCAATCTCCGCCGATCCGATTCATTTCGATCGCCGATCCGATTTATCGTTTCGATTCTAGGCTCTCCTGCATGTCGTTTCAGGCAGTGGCGCAGCGTCCTGGCTCGCCTATAGACCCAACAAACAATGTTCTAATAACCTTTTTGTGGTCTGCACAACATGCTCTTAGAGCAGTTCTGGCTGAGGCTGTCCTGTTTTAACACATCGGGCTTATGGTCTAAGAACACTGACGTTGTTCTAAGAGCATTTCTGGGTTCTAAGAGATTTTCGTGGTAGGCCTATAGGAATGCCAGGGCGGTCGGTCCCTGCTCAATCATTGGGGGGGGCTGGCCTTTCTCTGGACCTGGGAGTACCCAGGCCAGAGAGGGAAGCAACCAGAGTTTGGGCAACGAGAGAAGCCAATCGGCACATTCTCTGCATCGGGACTCGAGCCGTAATCCTCCAGAAAAGATGTAATCAGTAAGTCGCCGCATTCTCATTCAAGCAGTGAACAATAGCTTAAACTGCAAATCGCACGCAAAATACTTTCAACAGTGAATCGTCGACGTCGACGTGGGTCACAACTTACTCCTGAAAATCGTTCGTGAATTCTTGTTGTTGAGGTCCTTACGTCGTGAATTCTCTGATTGGTTCTTGTGAGCGTCTCGGTATCCTTTGTGCAATCTCCAAGCGCCTGTGTGGAAGCCCAAACGGTGGATGTCGAAAGAAGGTTGAAAACGCCCGGGTTTTACAAAGGCTCCAGTCGGAGGAGAAAAAGGAGGAGGAGGAGGAGGAGGAGGAGGAGGAGGAGGAGGAGGAGGAGGAGGGGGGGGAGGAGGACGAGGAGGGGGAGGAGGACGAGGAGGGGGAGGAGGACGAGGAGGACGAGGAGGAGGAGGAGGAGGAGGAGGACGGCGACTGCGGCAAGGGAGGGCCAGGAAGGGCGAGAAGTGAAAGCCGGGGAGAGGGGCGGGGAGCGGGCGGCGAGGGTGGCGAGGGTGGGAGAGGGGAGCAGGAGCGGGACGAGGGGAAGGGCGGTGCCCGGGGCCTCCTCCTCCTCCTCCTCCTCCTCCTCCTCCTGTTCCTGTTCCTGTTCCTCCTCCTCCGCCTCCTCCTCCTCTTGTTCCTCCTCCTCCGCCTCCGCCTCCTCCTCCTCCTCCTCCTCCTTGGTCCTCGGTCCTCGGGCCTCTCGTTCGGGTCCCGAGGTATCCGCGCCAGTCTCCAGAGAGGCCCTCGGAGGCCCTCCAGAGCGCGCGACAAGCTCCATCTGCGAGCCTCGAACGAGCCTCGAACGATCGACGATCGGCGATCAACGGTCGGCGACGACGACGACGAAAACAACGACGACGGCGGCGGCGGCGGCGGCGGCACGACGGTCGACGACGACGACGACGACGTCGACGACGGCGGCGACAACGATGGCGGCGGCGGCGGAGACGGCCAGGCGCCGGCGCTCGCCCTGTGCGCCGAGGGCGCCGGGGGCGGGCGCGCGTACGCCGGGCTGGAAGACGGTGGGCCGGCTAGCCTGCCGGGGCCGCCTGCGAGCCTCGAAGGAGAGGATCGGGTAGAGCCAGGACCCCGGGTACCCAGACCTCCGACGTCGCGAGAAACTCACGACGAAGGTTTTTGACAATTTTCTGCCTCTGGAGGCCCTCGCCGGGCCTCGGGAGCGTCAAAAAACAACTCGGGATGAAAAACCGGTCCCAGGGAAGGTCTCCAGACTTCGGGGGGCCGACTTCGGAGGATCGGGTATAGCCAGGACCCCAGGTAGTCGAGTAGACGTAAGAGTGACCTTTCGCCCGAGTGACCTTGAGCGCGGGCACGGATGGGTCCCCAGATGGCTGAGGACGAGGCAGGAGCAGCGGCTTGCGCGCCCAGGGTTGGTCCCCCCTCGGCCCCCCAAAAGCCGCGCACCAGTGGTCACTCTTACTCAGGGTCACTCTTGCGTGTAGCCGAGGTAGGGGGACCCGGTTAGTGGTAGGGCCCCAGAGCCGCCCTGGAATCGGCCAGAATCACTAAACCAGGTCTGCCGCAGCTGGTGTTTTTTTCGGGTGACGGCAGTTCCGGTGAGTGGAACGGGGCGGGGGGGCGTCCCCCAGTACACATCGTTAAATCAGGTTCCACTTAACCCAGTTTTGCCAACGCCCGAAAGGACATCAGCCACGCGCAGAGGGGGATGGAGGGAGGGGGTGGGGTGTTTTTAAGAAGCACCCCTGCGTCTTAGAGAAGGCGCGGGCCTTGTCTATGGGTGTAAGGCCGGCGCCTTCTAAGAAGCAGCCTCCTTCTGAGAAGCCCTCCCCCCTCCCTCCACCCCCTTGTGCGCGCCCAGGGGAGGGCAATACATGTATCCAGGGGCGCCGATGATCTATGTCTTCGACAAGGCTCCTGGGCGAGTACGTGTAATGCCTGCCCCTGGGCTAATCGCCCCTATCGTCGCCGCCGATGCCAGGGCCGCCTGCGATCCGAATAAACATGCACTCTTGGCGCTCCGCGCGGATTTCTTGGATCCGCGCTGGGCCACCCCCCTGGCGGCGCCTCAGGCGCCGCCCCTGGCGCGCTCAGCGCGCCGGGGGAGGGGTTCCAGCGCGGATTCTAGAAATCCGCGCGGAGCGGCAACAATTTATGTTTATGCCGTTGTTTGTTTTTTCCTCGGCTCTTTTTATGTATTATCCTTCGTCTCCCGGATCCGGCTCGATGCGATTTTCGATTCGCGGGCTGGGCCCGCCATGCTGCTGCGATGCGATGCGGCTCGATTCGCCGCCGTCGGCCAGGGCCAGCCGGGGCCGGGCGCGGCGAGCCGGTGTCGATTCGATTCGGGGCTTCTCCTATGCGAGGGCAGGGGCGGATCCGCACGCACTCCAGGTCTTCGCCTGGAGTCCTCTCGTGGCATCGCCGATCCCACGAGATTCTTCCAGGTTCTTCCGAACTCTCCCAGATGCCATCGGGGTCTCGCAGATTCCTGCGGCTCGTCCGACAAGCGCCCAAGCGTCAATCGCTGGCAAGATCTGAGCGAGTCGGTCAGGGACTCGCTTGCTCGGCGTGTCGCGCCGCCCGTGTTGGGCCCAGTGCGCCGTAGCACCGCACGCCAGCCACGTCCCAGTCCCCGGGCGTCAGCGTCCAGAGCTCCCCTCGACCCCCCGCCCAGCAGCACGGCGCGACGCGCTGCTGCCCGCTCTCGCAGGGCATGGCGTGTCGCAGAGGCCGCTGCTGCGACGTGCTGCAATCGACTAGACTTACGAGCTTGGCATCGCTCGGACGTGTGCATTTTCTCTTGGCGACGACCATCGAGGAGCATTCTTCATCATCCAGCGAAAACTACACGCACGAAATCTAATAATGCACGGGGAATGGACGTCCGAGCGATGGCGAGAGAGTGACCTCTCGCCCGAGTGACCTTTGCTGCGGGCCCACTGCCCACTTGGGCCCCCGGATCGCCGAGCGCGATGCGATAGCAGCGGCTTGCGCGCCTGGTGGTGTCCCCTAAGGGCCCCACTTGGCCGCGCCCAGAAGGTCACTCTTGCCTAGGGCCACTCCTGCGCGCAGCCGAAACTCAAGCAGTGGCGAAGCGTCCTGGCTCGCCTATAGCCCTACCAAACAATGTTCTAAGAACCTCTTGTGTTTTCCACGACCTGTTCTGCGAACATGTTTGGCGGAGTCTGCCTTGCTTTAACACATCGGGTTTATGTTATGAGGACCTGGTTGTTATTCTTAGAACAGTTTTGGGTTCTACTACGAACATTTCGTGGTAGGAAAATGGGAATGCTTGGACGGTCGGTCCCTGCTCAAGACATTCGCAGCAACACCCGACCGTGTAGGCATTCGGGACCCCAGTGCATGTGCAGAGACCCCCCTCCTCGGGGATTGACCTCCGCCCCTGCGGCAGCCGCCGTGGGCCCGCCTCTCCCCCGAGGCCGCCGCCCTCGCCTCCCCCCCCCCCGCCTCCTCCTCCTCCTCCTCCTACTCCTCCTTAACCTGCTTCTCCTCCTCCTCTTAATCCTCCTCCTCCCCCTCCTCCTCTTCCTCCGCCTCCTCCTCAGTCTTCCTCCTCTTCCACACTCCTCCTCCTCCTCCTCCTGCTCCTCCTCCTCCTCCTCCTTCTCCTCCTCCTCCTCCCTCCCCCTCCTCCTCCTCCTCATTCTCCTTCTCCTCCTCCTCCTCCTCCTCCTCCTCCTCTTCCTCCTTCTCCTCCCCCTCCTCCTCCTGCCTCCTCCTCCTCCTCCTTACTCCTCCTCCTCACTCCTCTTCCTCTTCCTCCTCTTCAACCGCGTCACAGACGGAGGGCGTGTCGTTTTCAAGATGTGACTCTCGCCTAGTCGCCGCGCGCATTTGTTTTGTAAAAAATGCAAGACCTTCACGGATTGAGGGTGGTTTAATTTCAAAGTGTGGGTCTCACCTAAACGCCGCGCATGTTCGTCGCAAGCAGTAGCAACGAGTCTCATTGTTTGAGGGCGAGTGGTTTTCAAGATGTGGTTATCGCTTTAGCGCCGCGCAAATTCGTGTCAAGCGTGTGCAAGAGTTTCTCGGACGCCCATGGCCACCGTACCAGAAAGTGTGCTTTGGACGGGTTCAGGTTTATGGGGGGTCACAAGTTATGTTGATTTGCGGTTTTCAAGTCCCAGGGATGCAACCGTGGCGCGGTTCAGGATCGTCAATACGCAATAAACATGTTGATCCGTGGCGTTGGAATCCCGAGAATAATGTTCTGGCATGCTTCAGGGTCTTCGAACAGCTGTCTTCCAACGGGGCAGCTCCCTCAGTAACAAATGAAGCGTTGTAGGGGCATATGAAGAGGGAGCTTGCAGGGATGGTTTTCCCAAGATCGTTGATGCCCCTTGGGTTTACACTGGTCCTCCTCCTCCTCCTCCTTCCCTCCTCCTCTTCCTTTTCCTTATTATTCTTCTTATTATTATTATTCTTCTCCACCTCCTCCTCCTCCTCCTCCCCTCGTCCTACCCCCCCACTCCTCCTCCTCCTCCTCCTCCTCATCGTCATCATCAGCATCATCATCATCATCATCAGCAGCATCAGCAGCAGCAGCAGCATCATCCACCTCCTCCTCCTCCTCGTCCTCCTCCTCTTCCTCCTCCTTCCCCCCCTCGCCCATCTTTTCCTCCTCCCCATCCTCCTTCTTCTCCTCCTCGTGCTCCTCTTCCTCCTCCTCCTCCTCATCCTCCCCCTCCTTATTCTCCGTAGCCATTTTGGCTCAAGACTGATGCTTTTGCGGGCTGAGCCCGCATTGGCCAAACTGGATACCGCTAGTCCGCGGCAGTCTTCATCCTTCACGGAGGTCCCTTCCTCAGTCCGCCCTGGGGATAGGGGTTCGCTAGCCTCCATTCCTGTCCTGCCATGGCGTGGCGTCGGAGTGCTCCGTGGCGCGTCGCTGGTGGTGAAGGGAAAGGCTCTTGGGTATGGCAGCCTGAGAGTGCTGGCGGTCCTCAGTCGGGGCCCCGTGGCAAGAAGAAGGTCAAGCCGAAGGACAACTCGTACAAGGTCTGTTCTCTCTGCACGCACTGGGAGTACTCTCGTCATGGTCACCGCGCCTGCAGTCTGTGCGGTGGTCAATACCTTGATGGTACTCGTCCTGGGCATGGCGATCAGGCTCATCAGGGCGGTCCTGGTGGAGTCGGACTCGGTGCCGCTACTGCCCCTGGCGCTGCTGCTGTCCCGATGCCGCCCCACCTCGTGCAGGAGTTGGAGCGCTGGGCTGTTCACTACCCTGCCCTTGCAGGGGTGGCTCGCGATGCCGCCCCGCCTGCGCCTCCAGAGATCCGTCTGTTCACGGCTTGTGAGCTGGATCAGTTGGCCGCGCTCGAGCAGACGAGGCTTGCACGGGAAGTGGAGGCCGCATCCAAGAACGAGAGGTTGGCTGCCCAGGAAGTGCAATGGAGGTTGGACCGTTTCAATCGTGCAAAGGCTACGATGGAGGAGATGCAGAAGAATCACCTCATGGCGGAGCAGAACCTCGAGGTGGCTCGCCGTGAGACGCGAGAGGCCGACTCCAGGAAGTTGGCTTTCAGTGTCGAGATGTTCAAGCAGAGCAAGATTGAGGAGCAGCGGCGCGAGGCTGAGCGCCAGGCTCAGGCGGCCGCGGACGCAGGCCGCCTCGCTTCAGGCGGGGCTCGCGCCCCCCCGCCTGGCGGCGACGGCGGCCCCCAGCCTGCCGTCGGCCCTGGCGCTTCAGGCGGGGCTTGCGCCCCCCCCGCCTGGCGCGGCCGTGGCTGGCGGCGCGGCCGCTGCTGATGCTGATGTCGATATGGAAGATGGTGCAGACAATATCCCTTGGTTGCGTGGCCGTCTCGTCGACTTCGTGCATGTGGAGTCCCGCCTGCATGAGTTCGACGATTCCATGCTCGAGCTACCTGTCCGCTACTCTGGCATCAAGCTTGAGAAGTGGCAACAGCATCGACTCCACCTACAGCGTATGCGAGACGCACAGCCCGACGATGTGTCTGAGTTGGGCAGCGAAGTTGGAGGCGATCTCGATCAAGTTGAACGCGACAAGTTCCGTGAG